AAAAGCATCAACAAACGAAACTTTAGTTTAATACTTGATAAATAATTCTAAAAGTTTAATGCACTATTGGTAATTTTAAACTTTTAAATTATTAAGTTTATATTTTAAATTTTAAATTTCTCAATACTATTGATTTATGAATGCATTCAAAGCACAACTCCATAAAACCAAATGAAAGCAAGTCAACAAAGTTATAAATAATAGGACACTGATTGGTGCATACCCGGATCTCACACCCGAGTGTGCACCCCCACATAAAAAAAAAAAGATTGAACCGGGTGATGGGTTTTTTTTTTTTTTGGTTTATATGGTGTGTGCACACCCAAGTGTAGGATCCAGGTGTGGGATCCGGGTGTGCACACATCATTATCCTAAATAATAACATATTGGGCGGTGGCGTGTGATTAGAATTAAAAGGAAATTAAGGTCTATTTTTGCCCTCTACCACTAACAACAAATTCTAGCTAAACCACCGCGTTATCCACCCATTAAAAACGTGGTCTCCACTCTCAATAATCGAGCAGGAAGTTTCTTGTCCCATGCCGGAGAAATATGAGGTCCACATGGCAGATTTTTTTTCCATCGAATTATACATGTGACACACATTTTTTCTTCTTTCGAAATATACAATTATACATGTGACACGCATGTGTGGTTATGGCCACACATTATATGGTGAGGATTATGTAAATTTTGATAATTTTGGTAAACAGTTAATTAGGTATTTAAAAATAAAAAAATATTTTATATGATGAGTTAAATATTACAAATATAGTTTATTTTATAAATTTTTTTAAATATTTTTAATGAAATTATTTTTTATATTATTTTATTAAAAATATTTTAATAAATTTATAAAATAAACTGTATTTTTAATATATAATTTAAATTATACAATATGAATCTTATTTAAAAATATCAATATATAAACTAATTTTAATTTATTAAATAATAAATATTAATTAATAATTATATTTATTAATTATTTTTAATAATTAAATTAAATAAAGTCAATATTTTTTAAAAAATCAAATACAGTCAATATTTTAAAATATAACATTTAAAAATTTATGTGGTGGTAACATTTTGGTGGTTGCCCATGAACTTGCCCGTGACACACATGCTTGGCATGGTTATTAAATGGAAATAGTAACTCTCTCAAAACTGGCTAATTTTTCAAAATTTTCCACTACCCAATTAGCTATGGGGCAGTTCAAAGAGTCCTGCAAGCCCATCCA